TAATGCACAATATTTAAATATCAGCTCCTAACATAATATACATGATGGTATGTCATGAGGAACACTGTCTTTGATTTTAAACGAATCAATCTATCACAAGCTACATCGGACAGCAAGGAGAGCAGCGCACACACTGTTACTGCAGGTAATAATAATCACACACACTCCTGTCAAACAGCCACAGCACACACGGGTAACAGTATGAGACAATACCTACAGTTAACTTTGAAGGGGTTGGTCTGTTTTCGCCTGGACATATTATTGCCCAGTCCCGGTTAAAAAAAAAAACTGGAATCTCCTCCTCACCCCGGATGGCTACCCTGAGACCAGTCCAGGTGTATTACGCACTGAGGGGACGAAAGATGAACGAAATAATAATAATAATAATAGAAGAGAGAAAAAAAAAAACACTGATCAAATCGTCCACTCGATCAGCAGAGTCGGGGCCATTTATGGAGGCAAAAAAATAAAAAAACGGAGACATAAGAAGAGTCACATTCTTGCAGTCGTTAGAAAAAACAAAACCAAAAGCCCCGTCCCCAGTCGATCAGGGGGGTTAAATGATGTCCGAGCCCGACCACAGAGACACCGAGCAGCACCGAGCTGCTCCGATCCCGAGCCGCTGGCAGCCGTGCGCTCACTGCAGCGATGCACAAGCTCAGCTGATCTAACGGAGAAGCGATGAAGCCACACCGAACAGGATTGTGGGATACGCAGGGACGCTGGGGGAGCTCATGCTAAAGATACTGTGCTGCGTTCAGGTCGTGTGGGAGAAACTGAAACAAAAACCTCACAAGATTTCCACCTATACCTGTATTTTTAGAGCTGAGTCATGATATCTAAAAGTGGTCGCAGTATAAATGTCTGTTAAGTTTTCTGGTATTAAAATAGTCAGCCAATTAAAGGAGTATATTTTTAACATTTTTGTATCATTATAAACATATTAAACATTAAGTAGAAGTCGATTGGATACGAGGAGGTTGACAGTTTTGTCATACTACTATTTTCAAGGTCAAGAATGAACCTTAATATTAAAGTGTAAGAGGTCATAAAAGTGCTAAAACCTGAAACCACAACAGCTGATAGGCTTGAGTGTCAACAGATTCACCTCCACGATAACTAATCACACACACCGAAGAGAGTGAGAGTGGAAGAGAGAGACAGCTGAAAGCTCCTGAAAAAAGATAGTGAGCGCACCTTGAGTCGGGACTGTTTCGCCAAATCAATGGGACTATTTCTACTATTTCTTGAAGCACAAAGTAGAATAAATACACATTTTTCTCCAGCAAGGAAAAAAAATGTCACTGAAGTAGAATTTCCTTAGAATATAACTTTTACATAAAATATCTGATAATAATATATCAGCAAATGTTTGTTGTAACAACGCACAACACAAAGATTTTTGATCCCTTCATTTATTTTTTCATTAATTGTGACCAATTATGTACCGAGCAGGACATTTTACCCTTGAAAACAAACTTGTCAGCGCTCTCTGGTGGGCAAACCGTGCAATGACGACAATGTTTCTGAAGGACCACAAGCATATCTTTGACATTTCTGTACAATCTTTTGTTACTTAATGGCCAAAACAATGTGCTGAAAGATGACCGGCCTCTGGGCTGGCAGGTAAAATATGAAGAAGTGACCTGATGGGCATAGTGTAACTAAGGGTGACAGTAAGACTGAAAGAGTGCTGTGTACAAATCAAAGAGGCACCACATTAAATACACATCACTGTACATTTAAATTAGCATTATCTGCACACATTATGTAACAGGTTTTTTTTTATGACAATTTAATAATATATTATAACCGGTTCATTTTCTGCCACAGCAACAACACCTTAACATGTCCTTTAATCCTTACTCCACAGCAACACTCTGTGTTGTAATCCTGCAAGGAGGATGATCAAAAAATGTCAACGCATGTTCAAATTAGACTAAACAACTGGATAAGTTCAAGATATTTCCAGTTTTTTTCCATACGACATGAAAACAACTGGAAGTGT